CCATGCCGACACTTTGCGAGCGGGACGTGGCCAGCGAAGGCGGCCAAGGATTGGCCGAAGGGGAAGGATGCAAGGATAACCACCTTGGAAAGAGGCTCATCCTCACGATGCGGGTTGGCTGCAAGCCCAGAGCCCAGAGAAGATCTGCCAAGAAGCGGAGGTGAAGGCAGATCCGCTCCAAATAGGTTCCCAGGCCACTCCCGGTGTCGAGATTGACCATCGGGGATCTACTGACGGGGGTCAATCCAAACCTGGGTCAATCAGGCCTTGCAGGATCCTGCAAAATCCTGCAGGATCCTGCACCCAAACCCGGGTCAGTGCACCCCTGGCTCTGCAGGATCCTGCCATATCCGGCGCTCTGACTGACCCCCGTTTGCATGGAACCCCGTCGCAGGGCTCCCCAGACCAGTTTGCCGAACCGCGTCCGGACGTGGCAACGAGGGGGCCCCTCCACCCCCCCTTCTGCTGGCCAGCACCGGTGCTGGGCCACCTCAGCCCCCCAGCCAGCTCCGACAAGAGGCGGGCACCGAGAGAGAGAGAGAGAGAAAACAAAAAAAAAAAAACAAAAAAAAAAAAAAAAACGGTGTCTCGGCTCGGTGGGCATGGCGGGGCTTCCAGGCGGAGGCGGGGACGAGCTTGCGCGAAGGAGAGAGAGACCCAGACATGCGACGTCCAAATTGTTTCAATACGGGGTCCCTGGAAGTCCCGAACATTTCCCCAGGACCGGTTTTCCATCCTGGGTCGTTTTATTGACGGTCCCGTGGCCCAGCGAGGGCCCCCAGGGGCCGAACACGGCCCGGAACCGCCCGGCCTGACTTTTGTTCCGACGCGATCAGGTCTCGGGGGGGGGGACGAACTTGCGCGAAACCAAGACCCCCGACGTCGTGACTTTTTCACATCGTCGACCCCCACAGGTCTGGACCCCTTCCCCAGGACCGGTTTTTTCGTCCCGAGCCGATTTTTGGCGGTCCTGAGGCCTGGTGAGGGCCCCCGGAGGCCAGAAATAGCGAAAAACCTCCCGTCGTGATTTCTGTCACAACGCGAAGGGGTCTGGGAAGAGGTGGTCCCGAGGCCTGGTAAGGGCCCCCGGAGGCCAAGAATAGCGAAAACCCTCCCGTAGGGATTTTTGTCACAGCGCGAGGGGGCCTGGGAAGAAAGAGGAGGGGCGGCCCAGCGGGCAAGATCCGCGGCGAGGCCTCGCGCTGCCCGGGAGCACCACGGCCAACGGAGAGGGCGACCAGCCGTCGGCGCGCCGCAGCGAGGCCGACGTTGTGAAAAAATCGCGGCGTCGGAGGTCTGGGAGGTAGGCACCGACGCCAACAGCGGTTGCTGTCTGCACCGGCCCTGAGATCCTGGCGCTGCACTTGTTTCACCACGGGCGATCTCGTTCCATTTCGGGCCCCGGGACCCTCACAGATCGATCTGGCTCGAAAAGTGACGCAGAAAGACGAGGTTCGTGGCTCCGGTCGTGATTTTCTGCGATGTTGCATTTTTTTGCAACGGCGGATCTCAGGGGAATGAAGATGATCCCGATCTCGGTGATGGTGGCGAGATTCGGGATTCTTGGGTGGCAATAAGATTTCCACCCGCACCCAAATCTGGGCCAGGGTCATCTGCCACCAGTGGGGGCACCCCCCTGTGTTTCGGCGGCGAGCCCCGGGGGGGGGAGCGAGGAGGGGTGGGCCGTCTCAGAGGGCTCGGAACTCCCCTGGCCTCCTGAGAAGTTTCCTGAGCCCTCCCCCAATGGCACGGGGAGCTTCTCTGAGGGCGCGAGGGCTTCTGAGATTTCCCGCCGCCGTCTGAGAAGGCCCTCGCCTTCTCACTTCCCCCCCTCGCTCCCAGATCCCCGCCGTCGTGATCTTTCCAAACGTCCACCCCCAAAGGTCTGGACCCCTTCCCCGGGACAGGTGCTTCGTCCCGAGTCGTTTCTGGACGGTCCCGAGGCCCGGTGAGGGCCCCCGGAGGCCGAAGATGGCCAAGGACCTCCCGTCGGGATCTCTGCACGGCGCGAGGGGGTCTGGGCTCGCCGCCGAGCGTTGGTGCCGGTGCCGACCCCCCGGACTCGCAGGAGTTGGCCGATCGAGAAACGTCCCAGATCTGACTCGCGATCGGGAGCGCGTGCACGGAGCTATACCTTGTGGATGCCACGACAATGGACACCCTAACAGTCCTGTCATTGAATTTGAAATATTTTGAAATGACGGAAAAACGTTCTAAACATGTTTTAAACATGTTGTTTGCACGTTCAAAGCATGTGTAACCCATGTTTTAGACATCTGGAAATGATTTGGCAACATGCTTCCTCTCCATTGATCGTCCTCCACAAGCAGTACCCCCCGGGGCCCCCGCTCTTCGGCCCCGAGGGGCGCAGGAGCCTCCCGCGCTGGCGCCCCTTGGGCTGGGGTCTCGTCGGCGGCTGCGGCCCACTCTCCTGCGTGCGCCGAGGGCTGGCCGCCCTCTCCGGTGGCCGTGGCGCTCCCAGGCAGTCCGAAGGCTCGCCGCCGAGGCCGGCCCCGAGGGGCGCAGGAGTCCTGCTGCACCGCACCGAGAGCTCGGGGCAGCACGACATGCTGCACGTCGGCGACGGCCAGAGCCGGGTCTGAAGCGAGATGGCAAAGCGACCTTACGCGGTGGCTGACGCGGGCCGCCAGCGCGGCACGCTGCATTGGAGACGAGGGCGCGCACGCGCGGCCTGGAGCGGGCAGCTTGCGCGCCACTGTCGGCGCAGACCCCCGTTTCTTTTCGTTGCGTCGCTCACGTGGCGCTCGGACGATGCTGCTTCTTTCCTTGTTTGGGGAGGCATGCCTCGAGAGTCCGAGCGGTCCTCTCTGAGAAGGTCACAAGGAGCTCACCATCAAGCAACGCGTGGCAAGCAGCACCAGTACCGGGAGGGGGGCGCGATGGGCAAGGGAGGGGGGGCGAGGCGCAAAGGTCGGCCGCCGCGCACGTGGCGACCGGTGCGGTTCCAGCAGGACGCCACCGCGGGCCTCGGGAACTCCGCCGAAGCCCCGGAGGATGCCTCCGAGAACTCCTGGACCACCGGACGACCCCGCACGATTCCTGGGGAGCTGTCAGGACGAGGTTCTCGCCTGCGGGGCGCGCGGGGGCGGCACCCGCGCCCGCTTCGGGATCTACTCACCCAGGTCAACCCCAACACGGCTCCGTCAGGCCTCGCAGGATCCTGCAAGATCCTGCAAGATCCTGAGTTAACGGGCGAAGAACGGTATAAAATAAACTTTTTCGCCGTCGGGGGCGCCTGCCCCTGGGCGGCTGGAAAGTTTATACCCCTAATTACGGTGCCACCGTAAGGGTATAAACTTTCCAGCCGCCCAGGGACAGGCGCCCCCGATAGCGAAAAAGTTTATTATCTTGCACAGCTGTGCTCTAGAGCTCGGACATCTTTATTTTCGTCGTTCGTCGTGTCGTTCGTCCCCCTCGCCCCCCCCCCCTGTCCACGCTTCCCAGGGTAGCCCCCCTGGGCCACGGAACCCTTTATTCTCTTGCACAGCTGTGCTCTAGAGCTCGGACATCTTTATTTTCGTGTCGTGTCGTGTCGTTCGTCCCCCCCCCCCCCTGCCCCCCCCCCCCCCCCGTCCAGGCTCCCCAGGGCAGCCCCCCTGGGCCTCGGACACCTTTATTTTCGTGTCGTGTCGTGTCGTTCGTCCCCCTGCCCCCCCCCCCCAGGCTTCCCAGGGCAGCCCCCCTGAGCCTCGACATCTTTATTCTCTTGCACAGCTGTGCTCTAGAGCTCGGACATCTTTATTTTCGTGTCGTGTCGTGTCGTTCGTCCCCCTGCCCCCCCCCCTGCCCCCCCCCGTCCAGGCTCCCCAGGGCAGCCCCCCTGGGCCTCGGACACCTTTCTTTTCGTGTCGTGTCGTGTCGTTCGTCCCCCTGCCCCCCCCCGCCCAGGCTTCCCAGGGCAGCCCCCCTGAGCCTCGGACATCTTTATTTTCGTGTCGTGTCGTGTCGTTCGTCCCCCTGCCCCCCCCCCCTGCCCCCCCCCCAGACCCAGCTCCCCCGTCCAGGCTTCCCAGGGCAGCCCCCCTGGGCCCCGGACATCTTTATTTTCGTGTCGTGTCGTTCGTCCCCCGCCCCCCCCCTGCCTTCCCCCCAGACCCAGCTCTTCTGGGCCACCCCCCCGTGGGAGCCCTGAGACCCAGCTCCCCTGCCCCGCCCCCCCCCCCCTCGGGAGCCCTTGGGAGCCCGGCTCCGTCCAGGCTTCCCAGGGCAGCCCCCCTGGGCCACGGAACCCTCCCCTCCGTGCTCCCCTGGGCCACCCCCCGTGGGAGCCCTTGGGAGCCCTCCTCCGTCCAGGGTTCCCAGGGCAGCCCCCCTGGGCCACGGAACCCTTTATTTTCGTCGTCGTCCTTCGTTCCTGGGACACCCCCCGTGGAAACTCTTGGGAGCACCCCTCCGTCCAGGCTTCCCAGGGCAGCCCCCCTGGGCCACGGAACCCTGTATTTTCGTCGTGGTCGTTCGTGGTTCGTGGAAACCAGGCCAGGCCCAGAAATCGTCGTCGTCGTCCTCCTCCTCCTCCTCCTCCTCCGCTTTCTTCCTGGCTCCTCGTAAACCCCTCCTGGAAGAAGGAGGCGGGGGCCTCCTGTCCTTCGCAACTCCTTTGTGCAAGAGCCAGGGCATTCGTCGTTCGTCGTGTCGTTCGTCCCCCTCGCCCCCCTCCCGCCCCCGTCGCCCCCCCCCCTGTCCACGCTTCCCAGGGTACCCCTCGCCCCCCCCCCTGTCCACGCTTCCCAGGGTAGCCCCCTGGGCCACGGAACCCTTTATTTTCGTCGTTCGTCGTGTCGTTCGTCCCCCTCGCCCCCCCCCCTGTCCACGCTTCCCAGGGTAGCCCCCCTGGGCCACGGAACCCTTTATTTTCGTCGTTCGTCGTGTCGTTCGTCCCCCCCCCCTGTCCACGCTTCCCAGGGTAGCCCCCCTGGGCCACTTTTATTTTCGTGTCGTGCCCTTGGGAGCCCTCCTCCGTCCAGGGTTCCCAGGGCAGCCCCCCTGGGCCACGGAACCCTTTATTTTCGTCGTCGTCCTTCGTTCCTGGGACACCCCCCGTGGAAACTCTTGGGAGCACCCCTCCGTCCAGGCTTCCCAGGGCAGCCCCCCTGGGCCACGGAACCCTGTATTTTCGTCGTGGTCGTTCGTGGTTCGTGGAAACCAGGCCAGGCCCAGAAATCGTCGTCGTCGTCCTCCTCCTCCTCCTCCGCTTTCTTCCTGGCTCCTCGTAAACCCCTCCTGGAAGAAGGAGGCGGGGGCCTCCTGTCCTTCGCAACTCCTTTGTGCAAGAGCCAGGGCACGCGTGCCACTTGTTTTCGTGTCGTGTCGTGTCGTTCGTCGTTCGTCCCCCTGCCCCCCCCCCTCTGCCCCCCCCCGCCCAGGCTTCCTAGGGCAGCCCCCCTGAGCCTCGGACACCTTTGTGCAAGAGCCAGGGCACGCGTGCCACTTGTTTTATACCGTTCTTCGCTCGCTGACTGAAAGATCCTGCACCCAAGCCCAGATCAGTGCGACCCTGGCTGTGCAAGATCCTGCTCTGGCGCTCTGACTGACCCCCGTTTCCATTGACCCCCGTCTCTTGAGCCCCGATTCCTCGCGCTCGGCCTGCCCACAGGAGGCGGGCGCGCCGGGAGGCGCCTGCTATCAGGCACAGGCGCTGGGGGTAGTTGGCGTAAAACATGCGGACGCCCATCTCGTTCCAGGCCTCCCCTTCTCCTCCTCCTCCTCCTCCTCCTCCTCCTCCTCCTCCTCCTCCTCCTCCTCCTCCTCATCATCATCATCATCATCATCATCCTCATCCTCCTCCTCTGTAGCAGCTGGCAGTCGTACGAGATTGGATAGCCGCATCCCCGATCGCCTTGGGAATCGTGGAATTTACGACATGAGGCATCTCCCCCCAACACCGGATGCCAGCCTCTGTTGGCTGATCCCGAATCCCTCCTTCAACATGCATCACAGACGCCCGCTGATTGTCGCCGAGCTGTAGCATCTTTGCAAAAGTTCCCCTGATACCGTTTCAACTCATGTTTTTTTTCTCCACACATGGCTCGGCAACCACATCCAGAGAGACACAAGCTGCCACTGGCAAAGTGCCCCACATCCCCACTCACGCGCTGGCTATGAACGGTTTACAGCACAATGCCGCCTGCAACTAGTGCTGCGGTACAGTCACGTCGTCCAACGGCTTGGCCGGCCTCTTTGTTGAAGCATGTCAGGCCTCCTTCTGCAAAACGCGTGTTGGCCAAGCACAGCTGGTGCGCCTGGAACAATCGAGACACCTGCTGCGAAGAAAAATTGGGGCTGTCCAAGTTGTGCCTGCCGCGAACTTCCTCGATCTCCTCGAATGACATCATGGCCAAAGTAATGTCCAGAAGTTGTGCCAACCAGTTCACCGTTGTTCGGATCGTTCTCTTCTCTCCCAATTTCTTCGGTGTGTTCGTCCTCGGTGGAGCAATGAAAGACAGTAAACCGCAACCAGCGGGAAAACGAAGAGGACCCCTCTCCAGGTTTCGCGCTCCTGCACGTCCCCTAAACGCTTCGGTACTGGCAGAAAGCCACGCGCGCGCGCAACAGCTGTTAAACTCTCGCCCATGGGTCTAAAAAACTTGCGCCGCAACTCCTGTTCACATGCTGACGGCGATGCCGCCCGCACTCTGGAGTCCAGTGCGTCTTACCACAAGCAATCGGTTCCAAGCACTCCGCGCTGCTCCTCTGGGATCCCAAGGAAGGGCCGTTGATGTCTATCTTGCGCAGCTCGCCCACTGTGTCCTGGGAGCGGCTCCGATCCGCGCTCCGCGGGCTGCTCGTGCAGAACGAAGCTCCGCACACGTGCCGCCCCGCCGCACCGCTGGCCCCTGGCCTGCTGTGTGACACGTGTCATGCCGTCCGAAGGGGGCGGCAGGCGGGGGGAAGCCCCCCGGTTCGAGAAGATGACCACCTTCCTCCTCCTCCTCCCTCCTCCTCCCTCCCCCTCCTCCTCCCCAGGCCCCCGACGTCGTGCCGAACAACAAAAACTCCCGTCGTGATTTCTGTCACGACGCGAGGGGATCTGGGTCCTTTGCCTCCTCGCCCTCCTGCTCCTCGGAGGTGCGAGGATCAAGAGGAGACAAGTGCACCCCCCCCACCCCCGCCGCGGCCACCGAGGCCCCGGTGTAGAAGGGAGCGCCTCGAGCCTCACCCACGGCTGCCATCCTGGGGGGGGGGGGGGGGGGCGCCGCCGCTGGAGCGATGCACGGGGTAGGGCGCCGTCGTCGTCGTCGTCGTGAAAATCGTCGAAGGCGTCGTCGTCGAGATCCCCGCCCTCTTCACGGTCGTGGTCGTCGTCCCCGCCCTCGTCCAAGTCCTCGTCCATGTCCTCGTCCTCGTCCTCGTCCACGTCCTCGTCCTCGTCGTCGTCGTCGTCGTCGTCGTCGTCGTGGTCGTCGTCGTCGTCGCCGCCGTCGTCGTCGTCGTCGTCGTCGTCGTCAGCGTCAGCGTCAGCACCAGCGTCAGCGTCAGCGACAGCGTCAGCGTCGTCAGCGTCAGCGTCAGCATCAGCGACAGCGTCAGTGTCAGCGTCAGCGTTCATCGTCGTCGTCAGCGTCAGCGTCAGCGTCTACGCCAAAGTCAGCGTCAGCGTCAGCGTTGTCGTCGACGGCAGCGGCGGCGTCAGCGTAAGCGTCAGCGTCGTCGTCGTCAGCATCGTCGTCAGCGTCGTCGTCGTCTTCAGCGTCGGCGTCAGCGACGGCGCCATCGCCAGCGTCAGCGTCAGCGTCGTCGCCGTCGTCGTTGACGTCGTCGGCAACGTTGTCAGCGTCGTCGTCGTCAGCGTCAGAGTCAGCGTCAGCGACAGCGTTGTCGTCGTCAGCGTCAGCGTCAGCGACAGCGCTACCGTCAGCGCAAGCGACAGCGTCAGCGTCAGCGTCAGCGTCAGCGTTAGCGCCAGCGACAGCGTCAGCGTCAGCGTTGTCGCCGTCATCGTTGTCGGAAGCGTCAGCGTCAGCGTTTGCGTCAGCGTCAAACCGGCGCCGGCGTCGTCGACGTCAGCAGTCAGCGTCAGAGTCAGCGTCAGCGTCAGCGTTGTCGTCGTCAGCGTCAGCGTCACCGTCAGCATCAACGCCGTCGTCGTCGTCGTCGAAGTCGTCGTCTTTGTCGAAGTAAGTAGTTGTGGAAATCGTCGTCGTCGTCGACGTCAGCGTCGTCGTCGTCAGCGTCGTCGTCGTCAGAGCCAGCGTCTCCTCCCTCCTCCTCCTCCTCCTCCTCCTCCTCCTCCTTCTCCTCCTCCTTCTCGTCCTCCCTCTCCTCCTCCTCCTCCTCCTCCTCCTCCTCCTCCTCCTCCTCCTCCTCCTCCTCCTCCTCCTCCTCCTCCTCCTCCTCCTCCTCCTCCTCGTCCTGTTCTTTCTTCTCCTCCTCCTCCTCTTCCTCCTCCTCCTCCTCCTCCTTCTCCTCCTCCTCCTCCTCCTCTTCATTATCCTCCTCCTCCTCATTCTCCTCTTCCTCCTCCTCCTCCTCCTCCTCCTCCTCCCCCTCCTCCTCCCCCCTCCTCCTCTCCTCGCGTCTTTTCGCTCCCGACGCGCTTTGAGAGCTCAACCGAGGAGAGCCCCAAGAGGGGCCAAAGAGGCCCGTGAAACGGATCCAAGAGCGCGCCAAATCGGCCCAAGAGCGTCCCAAGAGCACCCCAAGAAGCGATATGAAAGGCCCCAGAAGGGGAAGAGGAGGTGCAAATTTGGGACCCTCCCTTCGGATTGATGGCCTCCCAAATGGCCCCAAGAAGCCCTCCACGGTTCCCAAGAGACCCCCAAAAGGGCTGCAAAGGATCGCAAGAGGGCCCCAAAACCCCCCAAAAAAGCTCCAAGAAAGAGGACCCCACGATTCCCCAAAAGAAATCCAGGAGGGTTCCAAGAGGCGATGTTGACGGAATGTTCTCGTCGTCGGTGTCCTTCTCCTCCTCCTCCTCCTCCTCCTCCTCCTCCTCCTCCTCCTCCTCCTCCTCCTCTTCCTCCTCTGTCACAGGGTCGACGGGCCAATGGAAAGACAAAGGGCGAGTGTGGAGATAAACTTGTTTATCGAAAGGCCTCGCCCGTCCTCTCAGCGACTCCTCGGAGTCACATCCTAAGCCAAATTGGCTATATACCGCAGGAGAACACGGAGGGAGGGGAGAGAGGGGATCGGAGAACGCACCCCAGGGAAGCATAGGATGACAGCGGACCCAACTTTACCGGTTTCGACTCCGGTATGGGAATCCACATGGGAGAGAGGCGTCCGGCCTCTCGGGCTTCTCCGGGCAGGCGTCCTGCAGGGAGGCGTCCGGCCTCCCTGGCCTCTCCGGGCAGGCGCCCTGCCTCTCCGGGGGCCGCGGGCTCCTTCTTCTCCTCCTCCTTCCTTCCTTCTAGACCTCGGCGTGAGCCGACGTCGAACCTTCCCTCCGAGTAACCGTGCCCCACCTCCTCGTCTTCCTTGGTGTCCTCGGGAATCCTCGCGGACTTCCAGGCTCCCTTCTCAGTTTCCTTTCTTGGGAACCTCCTCGTGCTTTCCTCCTCCTCACCTCTCCTCATCTCTTCCTCGTCCCGCCTCTGGGCCTCCCCCAGTAAAGCCCTCCTACTGGCGCCCCGAGAACGGGACTTCAGGGAAACATTAAGTGAACGTTCGTCTAGGTGCCCTCCTTCATCTATCAGGCACAAAGTGCCTCGACAGAGCAAATCGTGAAGGGCAAGATTCGATTTTGCGGGGTCGGCGTGCGTGAGGGGGTCGGCCGGCGTGCGGCCATGGGGCAGCCAACGAATCTGCGAGCCCGTGGCGGAAAGGGAATCTCGAATAACGGCCAGCTCGATCGCATTTCGTCGATCCGAACGGGACCCGGCGGCATTCTTCGAGAGGGTATCGAAGACCGACTTGGCGTCCACGATACACAGAGCCGCCGCCTGTTCATGCAAACTACAGCCAGCGGACATAACCACCGAAAATGGGGAGGCACTCGTGTTCCAGGACGGTCGATTGACGTCGCCGAAAACGGTGTCCCTCCACAGGACGTGAAGCCATTGCGCCTGCGCAATGGCCCCGCTTAGGGAAAGGGCCTCGGCGGCCACCGTGGAGCTGATAACACGTTTCAAACGCTGGGAACGCCAGGACAGAACAGAAACTCGGGCCCGCTGATTGGCGCGGATGGCGGCATCCGCGGCCATGACGATCCAGGCTCCTTGGGAGCCCCCACGACTCGCCGACCCGGGGCCCGAAGCGTCCGACGCGGTCACAAAAGTCAGGGACAGGGGGTCCAGGGCCCAAATCGTTATCTTCTGTGAGGCAGTCGCCTTAAGATACTTGCACACTTTGATCAGCATCACTGCATGACCCACCGTAGGATTCGGCATCGCACCTGCTAAAATGGAGGCTCCGCCCGCCACGTCCGGCCTCGACTCGCGAGCCACCCACTGCACCTGGGCGATAGCGGCTCGGTAAGATCGGATCTCAGCCGGAGATAGGGGAAAGTCGAGGTCCGCTCGACGAGATCTCTCCAGGGGCATCGGAGCCAACTGTTCTCTGATGTATTTTTCTTGGTCGACTACGATCCTGTCCTTAAGCTGGCACAGATGACGGCCGGCAAAGTCGGCCTCCCCCACCTTCCACTTCCCAAACTTAAATCGACTCGTCGCCCGATCCCTAAAGGTCTCTTGAAACTCGGAGCGCCCCGTAATTATGAGATCATCGACTTCGATCAAGACTAATCCCACGAGGGCCCCCATCTCGTCCCGGCGGAGCCACAGGCAGGGCTCGAGCAGGGACTTAATGAAGCCTTCGGCCTTCAGCCAGTCCGTCAGAGTCCGATGCCAGAGCAGCGGGGCATCATTCAGCCCGTAGACGGGGGCGATAAGCTCGATCAGCTGATCCGGCCCGATAGGAAGGCCAGAGCACGGTTCGACGTATATCGCCCCCTTGGGCCGCTCTAGCTTCTGACTCTGACAGAATGCGTTCTTCGCGTCCGCGATGGCCAATGACCATCCAAACGAACAGGCAACCTGCAGGCAAGTAAGGATGCTCTCCGACTGGGGAGTAGGGGCGTAGACTTCAAGGGACTCACTATCGGGATCCTGGTGCCCGTGGACACACCATCGTGACTTGGGCTCCGGGAGGGCCCCTACTCCCTCGACCGGCTTTAAACGTCGGACCATCCGAGAAAACAAAATTCGGTCGGCGCGGCGCCGACGCACGTTCAAGGACTCTCCGGGCGAGAGAACGCGAACAGCACCCGTAGCCAGCATCGCCTCCCACTCCTTAGCGTCAGAAACCACGAAGCGAGCGCGATCGCCTGGAGTCAGATCTTTAAGCTGGACCTCGGCCCCCCGGGGCTTCAAAGGCGGGCGCTGGCTAGGGCGGGCACTAGCAAAGGACATCTCGGCCTCGCTGGACTCTGCCGGGCCCGCGAGAAAACTAAGCACTGCGGGAGCTTCCCCGGGTCGAAACCGGCCCCTAAGCTCCTGGATCAACGTATCATCCTGGAAGTCATCAGGCAACCGCCAGGGGTCATTCTCTTCGCCAGCTTCCGCTGGTTCCGCCGATTCCGCCAACCAGGCCCCCAGGTCCCCTCCCATCGATCGGTCCGGGGACCTACTCCTCTGTCTGCCAGGGGGGGGGAAGCTCTCCGCGGGGCGCCGAGCCCGCGGCACGGAAATGTCACGACCGGAGCCGATCGGCCTCGAGGGCAAAAACGGGGCCCGAGTCATAGGGACGTCCTCCGAGGAGTTCCCCGGACTGGCCGCAAAAGGCGTCGCTCCGGAGGCACTCTCCTGGGACGCGAGCGGTTGATCGGCGACAGTCGCCGCTGGCGGACTAGGGCTTGAAACGGTGTCCGCACTGGGTTGAGCCTGTTGGGACGATTCCTCAATCGCCGCGACTCGCTGCTTAACGGAAGGGGTATCCTCCTGTTCCTCAATGGGGGTAAGACGAGCCCTCTTGTCCACTAAGATCGCTTCTGGGGCCCGAGGGGGTTTGGGCCTACGAGGGCCGGCCAGTGAGGAGTCCGAGGACGCCGAACCTCCCCCGGGAAGCTGAGACCCTCCCGGTCCGGAGGCCTCGGAGACCGACGGGGTCCGCGCGTCGTCGGAGAGCCCTCGATCTCGCGAGCCGACGCTCGGACTCGGAGCGAGCCGCCGAGCCGATTCCCGCTCGAGGGGATCGGTCGAGCGATCGTTCTCGGGAACGTCATCGGCCTCGGGAGG